ACATTCCAAGCATTTCCCACTCCCTTATTGTAGGGTCATGGTTCACATCTTCCAATCAACTTGGAAGATGTGATTTACTTCCGGTTTCTTTCTCCTGGGCTATCCTTATGCTCCTCCCTCTTTCCCAGTTGCTGGTTTAACTATATAAATACCAGACAGTTCTGCATATTGTCAAAGCAAGAATATACAGTATTTGCAGTGTTGACACCTCACTTAGCAACAGAGAAGATGACATTTGTCCCTTAATCTGTCCAGTAATACCATTAAGAGAAGCAAAGAAAGGAAGGGATGTTTTGTCTGCAGAAAAGGGCCCAGGACACTCATTTCTTTACTGAACAATGAAGGGGGCAGATTCTATAAGCATTTGAAGTTCTGTAACACAGGGAAGACAAAATTTTAATCTAATTCCAGAGAGTTGATCATAAAGTCTCCTTTCTCGGGGCCTGTTGGAAGGGATTTTGAAGAGACCTTTCCAGACTTGTGAATACGCAGAAAGGTTGAAGCCAGACAGATTTCAGAAGGAATGTATCTTCATAGGGTAGGCACTAATCACACAGAAGACAAATATTTAGGTCTTCCAAAAGACACTATTGATAGATGGGACCTGGAGTGAATCCACTCTGCCAAATCTTACCGGTGATGCAAAAACAAACAAAGAAAGGTGGTCTCTTAAGTGTCCAGTGTTAAGCCATGAAGACCTTTACTGGTGACAACCAGCACTGGGAATTATATCTGCAAGCCCACTGGTAACTAGTGTGATTTACAAAGTAGAAGTGTCACATGGACAAAATGAAAATTGCTCATGACTACGTAGGTTGCTCCATTCTGGACCAACTATAGTTCTGAATATTCTTCAAGAGTAAGCTCCATGTGGGATGCCCTTTGTATCTTGGAAAAAAACACAATGCTAAAGTTTCTTTTTTATTTCCATTGCTCCAAATAATCCTTTTAAACCCCGCCTATATCCTCAAGAACATATGCTAATCAGTATCAATACCAGCATTGTTCAATCTTCTAATGAACCTCACAACTAATAGAAAGATACAAAGCTATTTATCCATCCATCCATTAAATTGGCTTTAATTTTCGTTTAATAATTTCAAAAATAATTAATGTTTGCAAACAAAGGATGAAACAGGTTTTGGATTCACTTTCACGAGTTTTCCCAGTCTTACAGAAGATATAAACAGCGGTGAGTTTTGGTTCTCCTTCCAAATTATGATTAAGACTTCGCAAAACATTTATAGAGAACACCCTCTCTTCCCACGACTATTGCAAAATGTTAAGATGTTCCTCTTTTCTTTACTGGAAATCTATTTCTGATGCTGAATAAATTCTGCGTGCTCACTCATCAAATGCAGACCAAACTGGATTCATCGAAGAAATCTAGCTTTCTGAACTGCCGCGGATTCCCAAAGAGATCTGTTCTTGCGCATCACCACCAGGTATGTCCTTAGCAAAGACAGAACTGTCATTATGGCAACTGTTATATACTGTATATATATATAAAATCTCAATTCAGAATAAGTCTCAGAAACGGCAAGGATTTGATACTATGATTTCTTATGAAAGGTTATCCATCACAGATGGCCAGTTATTAAAAAAAATCAGTTAAATAGTTGGGTAGAGTATAACAACAACAACAACAACAACAACAACAACAACAACAACAACAATAATAATAATAATAATAATAATAATAATAATAATAATAAAGTTGGAAGGCACCTTGGAGGTCATCTAGTCTAACTCCCTGCTCAGGCAGGAAACCCTATACCATTTCAGACAAATGACTGTCCAGTTTCTTCTTAAAAACTTCTAGTGTTGGAGCATTCACAGGTTCTGGAGGCAGGTTGTTCCATTGGTGAATTGTTCTAACTGTTAGGAAGTTTCTCCTTAGTTCTAGGTTGCTTCTCTCCTTGATTAGTTTCCATCTGTTGCTTCTTGTCCTGTCTTCAGGCACTTTGGAGAATAGCTTGACTCCCTCTTCTTTGTGACAACCCCTGAGATATTGGAACATTGCTATCATGTCCCCTCCTCGTCCTTCTCTTCATTAAACTAGACATACCCAATTCCACCAACTGTTCCTTATATATTCCTTATATGCCATTTCTAGATGTATTTTTATGCCAGCCAACTTGTCATAAAAGCGCTAATGGCTCCAACTGAGTTTTCATATCTGTTTGGAGACAGTGTAGAGGTTTCTGACACCTCCGGTGTATTGTGCCTTAGAGTGTTTCCATTGTGTAACACTGTGAATTGTAAGCACAGGGCCAAGAAGTCTCAAGCTTGAGCATGCGGTCTTATAGTTCTTTTCAGGTTGCAGTGACCCACACATTTGCTCTTGCTTTTCTTGACAGATGTAGCTATTTATCAAGAATATTGATAAATATCAATATTGATAAATATCAAGGTATTTGTCAAGAATATCGTTTCCTTTCAATGTTTGTCAGAAGCTTCGTGAGTCCCTCTTGGTTCTCTTCTACTGATTTTTTCTCACCTGTGGACCAATTCTAAGCTCCTCATATTCATTCTGGAGAACCTTCTCTGAATATGTCATGTTGTGCTGCTGAACTCCTTGATTATGTTTTTTCAGGGCACAAAGAGCAGAGATGTTTCTGCAATTGTCTCCTACCGATCTATCAAATGGTCTCCTATCTATCAAATGTTCTTCTCTTTTGTTTTGTTGGTCCTGCTCTTTCTCCCCTACATTCATGGCTTTTTCAGGTCAAGGAATTACACATTTTATAGTATTGCGAAAATATGTCCTTACGTTTGAGCCATTCCAAAAAAGAGGATTGGCTTGGGGCAGGAGATGATTTTAAGGTGGCTTCTCTGGTGTTGTATATGGCTTTTGTTTCATTGTATAGTTTATTTCATTTCTATTAGTTTGCAGCATGGTTTGGTTTGGTTTAGTTCAGTGAGATGGTAGCTACCTAGAATCCTTGCTAAATTGTCACCAACAATCTGAGTTCTACATTATTAGAAATATTTAGTAGGGAAGATATTCATCAGTTAATGATTCCAAAGGATAATGTTTTCCTCTCCTGTGGTGTTTATCTTGGACTTGTTGAAAGAAAAATCAGGTCCAATTTCAATCCTGGAGAAAGATGCTGGAAATAAAATGGAGGCTAGCTGCTTAGGAAAGAAAGTCTCTGTTTATTAATGAGCAGAACCGACAACAGCATGTGGTTCTGGGACAGCTGACAAAATGGAATTGAGAGTAGGTGTGTTTTTATATATTCTTTGGGGCTTTGTCTTTGAGATGCCTGTTCCTTGTGTAATGTACTTTGTTTCTCTGTGTCCTTTTAGTATTCTAACTAGCTGTACCCGGCCACGCGTTGCTGTGGCTCAGTCTGGTAAAAGCGTGTGTTGCTTTTACGTCCAACAGATGGCGCTGTTTTTTTAAAAAAACATGTTTTTACCTGTCACAGGTGTGATATCTATATAATATAGGTATATAAAAACACGTGCGTATTCGAATGCAACGTTGTGTCAAAATGTCAAAGCAATCGGTGAAGAACTTTCAGAGATTTAAGATTTTGAACAAACGAACATTTACATTTTTATTTATATAGATTATTGTTGCCTGACTCCCATTGTGGTTGGGAGATCATGCCCTGTCCTTGGAGCTGGGTAGGGAATGTAGATTTTAGGAGTCTTTGTTTTTCTAATTCCATCAGCTCCAGCCTTCTGTGGGGAGTGAGGCTGAAGGCGTTTTGTTTATGAATAAGGTGGCTCAATCTTTCTGAATGGATTACAAAATCTCCATTTCTAAATATTAGCTTCTCCAGGTTTCTGCTTGAGGCAAGAAGACGGGATGTTTCTGCCTTTGTTAAGATTTTTTTTCTCCACTTCTCCTTTAGGGGAAATATTCTATCCTTCCTTTTTTAATATTCCCCAAAATATTTCATTCTCAGTGGTGGTGGGGAAGCCAAGCAGAATATTATTAAATGTTTTGTTACTTATAGCTAGTATAAAGGGAACATTTTAGGGGGGGGTAAGAATTATGATTAATAACTTTGTACAGCCGTTTATTTACACTTTAAAGGAGGAAAAGATCCGTACTGTATTGTATGCCCTTAAAGTGATCATGTAACCATTTTTTTCAACTTTAGATACGACACAGTTCTTGCGAAGAAGCAGGGGGAACCTAACAACCCACAAAACTGAGAATTTCCTCTTTTAACCAGCGAAGTGGCCAAATTAACTGTTTTCCGTGAGTCATTTCTGCTTTGATTGTGTGGAGAGACATTAAAGCAGAGCAAGTCCTTTACTCTGTGGGAATCAAATTCTTCACTCGTTCTGAAATGTTGTACACGCCAGATGATGAATTGACCCATATGGCTGGAAACTGATGGGAGAAAATAATCTACAGACCCTGATGCCACCATGTTTGCCTTCTTGAGCAAGAACCAACGCAGAAGTACACAAAAGCACAACCCAACTGACTTCTGCTGAAGATCTTCGGTGAATTTTTCCACATCCTTTGCCATCCTTTGTGGAAAAATCAGAACATTTGCAAACATCATTTGATGCCTGTTGACTAAAAACAAGGGTGAGCGGTTTGTCCTTTAGCTGCCTGGGTCCATCCTTAACTTTCAACAAGAAGCAGAAACTGGTAAAAAACAAAAACAAAAAAAAACAAAGTGAGATTCATTTCCACAGAAGACAGCAACCAACATGAAAATCATCTTTTCTGGAATGACGGATGCTAAAATGGGAAGCCTGGCATTCTGATATCCTGAACACGATCAGACTGAGGTCATCCACTCAAAGAGCAGCATGTATGAGCCCGACTATCAGGAAAAAGTCATCTATTCTTTAATCATTTTAATCTGCATTCCAGGGATTATTGGAAATGGAATTATCATCCGACTTTTGGGTTTCAAGATTAAAAGGAATTCTTTCACTGTCTATATCCTCAATTTGGCTGTGGCTGACAGTGGGACTCTCATATTCCTCTTTCTGATAGGAATCCTGCACTTGATTAAGAGTTTCCCCCCACTAATAATAACAGAATGTTTCATATCCACTTACTGCACTGGTCAATTTCTTCTAACTATCATCAGCGTTGACCGATGTTTGGCTCTCTTCTTCCCAATTTGGTATCGCTGCCATCAGCCTCCATACTTGTCCACCATACTCTGTGCCTTTTCATGGCTGGTCTCTTTGCTCCTCTGTGTAATTCATTATGTTTTGTTGGGGGTTAAACTGACGAAAAACTTCCCCTCATTCTACCACATTCTCATCTGTACTTCCATTTGCATCCCACTTATGGTGGTCTCCAGCCTGGCCCTTTTCATCAAAGGCTACCTTAAATCACAGATGCAGAAGCGTGGAAAACTTCTCAAAGTCATCTTGCTTGCCCTGTTTTTCTTCCTCATCTTTTCTATTCCACCCAGTGCCATTTATCTCAATGATGTTCTTTTCAAGCATAAGTTTGCCAATTTAATTACCTATGGCTACCTATGTGCCTGTCTTAACAGCAGTGTTAACCCACTGATCTATTTTCTACTGGGGAGGAAGAAGGAACATCATTCTACGTACAACTTAAACACTATCCTTCAGAGGGTTTTCAAGGAGGAAGAAGAGAATGAAAAGCAGGCAGAGGTCCAGGTTGATATCCAGTCATGATGTACTCACGAGAGTGGGGGAAAAAAATCCATATTTCTATACTGCCCTGCCAGAACCTGATAATTAATTCAGAGAAATCTCCTCTGGCAAATCCAGGATTGCCAAAAATGTAACACCAAGGAGATTAGGAAAATAGTTTGTCATTTATTCAGTCATAACCGTGATTTTCAAGTCATTTTGAGCAGATCCTGTTGAGATGAGTTGATGAAATAACTCATGGGTGAAAGAGGGTTAAACTTTTCTTCAATCTCAGTAATCAATTATGAGAAGCTAAATGAATGGTTTTCCTTATTTTCAGATTTCTGCACCTAATGTTTGTTCATCTGCAGGCATAAATCAAAATGCTCCCAAAACTCTTTCAGCTGCTTTGAGGCTCCTAGCTATTTTACCCTCACCGTCAGTTATTCAGTAAAGTTCATTTACTAGTGAGAATTATTGATTGGTGATTCTGAAAACGTAATTCTGTGTTAGCATCCATCCAATATATATATGTATGTACTGTATATGTATGTGTGTGTGTATTCATTAATATGTCTTGCATGTTTAAATATATTGCACAATGGATTTTAATGATACGGATTTTAATTTTGCTTTAATTAAAATTGTAGCCATCTCTTCTTGTGGTTTATACTTCCCATTTTTATCTGTTGTTAGATTGAATGTTGTCAGAAAGGAAAGATATAAATTTAGCAAACAACTGTTGTGTAGAAGTCATGTGTTTGCCTCTGGTCACTGAGATGCACATTTCGAAAACAATCTTTCTGAAAGATTCATGTAATGCTGGATTGTTCCCACTTTTCTTT